TTTTAACCTACTGAGCTCCACATATTTGTTCCCTCCAAAATTTTGATGTTACATTTTGCATGCATTTTTTGTATTTTTCTGTAATTTTCTGGTTAATTTTAGGCCAAATGAACTTAATTCCTATTGTCTGAAGGTTTTGGAAAATTATGGAAAAAATTATGCAGATTTATTTGCTGAATGGTGAAAAAAGTGTGAATCTCATGGTTAGGAATATCTTCTGTTTGAACCATCGAGACATAAATTATATTTATTGCATTCTGAATATCTGTGTGTGGATGGCTTCCTGTAATTGACCTTACATTTTAATGTAACCCATGGCATCCTTTCAAACTACCATTTGAAATGTACTGTGGAATACTTTATTTTCGCTGAAAAGGCTTTTTGGGCGTTTTGTATGGAATTTATTTTCACTGATTTTTTGGCGAGTTTAATGTGAAATATAGGAAAAAAAGTATATTCGCTGGATTTTATTTTCACGAAATCATCCCTTCAGCGAAAATAAATTCCAAGCGAAAATAAAGTATTCTACAGTATTCTAATTACTATTATGTCACTAATATGTGCAAGATTCAAGTGGTAGTTACAATGTTCCTCTCGTTGTTATAGCTGTTCACTTCCTTGTTCCTCTAAAGATGGTAACTTTTTTCGTTGTATGGTTTTATGGTTCATTGTTTGGTCTTTGGACTTTGCTATCTCTGTCTTAGATTGGTGTTTAACCAGCTTGGCAGAATTCTGGTTTCCATGCTTACAATTTGTGTTTATTATGTTGGACTTGATTTTCATAAATTTTAGCTTGATTTGTATTGAAATTATGAAACTATTGCATGCTATAGGAAGCAAGTCTATGTCATGGAGTAATATTTTATGATACACTCTTTAAATTGGGCATGAATATTTTAGTGTTGAAAATTAATGTCGGTATTAACTTGTGTATGGCTTCTGCTGCTGAGATAGAGGCTGCAGCAAAGGCCGCTTGTCTTTCGAGGATTTACTGGAATTTCAACATGCCTTGCACATATTCACAAACATAAATTTAAGACAGACAAGCAGCCGCTGCTAACTAGTACAAAAATGTGTAAAATGTAAAAACAACGAGCTGTGGATGTTTTGTGGAGTCAAAGGTGCCATCAAATAAACATAGAGCAAATAAAAGGTCTTGTGAATTTTTGATTTTCCCTGACAGTGTTTAATCACACTCTGATGACCATTTTGAATTGAATACTGGTCAAAGTACATAAATTGATGGTCGTAATCCAAAAACTTACTCAGGTACCACAAAAGGGAGGTTGAATTTATAATATTTTTCATAATTAACATAATATCCCAGCATCTCTGAGTCTATGTCGTTGTGTACCTGTGACCCACTCCTTTATTTAAAGAGGAGAATTAATTTTTTCAAATTGAATTTCGTTATATTGCTAGACTACATTTTATGGGTTACTGAAGTAGGATGATACTGCAATAAAACAAATATTTTAAATATTCTACAGCATTTCCTGTTTGTTGCTGGTTTTTATTTTAATGTTCTGTGAATTTGTTGTTGCATTGGAATTCACAATTTTTTTTTTTTATTATTATCATGCATAAATGTATACATTACGTTTTAAATTAACAGAAAGAAATACAAAAAGATTGGGATAGTATTAATTTATGCAGTGTAGCCGCTGTATTAGTGAAAAACACAATTTAATGAACCAAAAATGTGTGCTTGTCAAGTTGAACAGTAAAATGATTTTGACCATGGCTACCTCTGTCATTTACATGTATGTATGCATGTGCTACTGATAGAGAAAGTAATCTTGGGAGTGGACATCCGCCATTTTTCACTGCATGGCAACTATTGCAGTGAAAAAAGGCTGAAAACTCTTAGAAAATGGTACTTTGGGATGGTTGTTGAGGCTCCTCTAAATAGTGTAACAAGATTACCCCTGTGTGTGTGTGTAACGCATATAAATTTGATTGTTCAGGATTACCCGGTACTTCAAAGTTGAGTTCCAGTTGTTTTCTCAAATTTTCACCGGCCCATACAAATACGTGGTACAGTCTTAGCAGCGTGGAACGTCTTGTGACGTAGCTCCGCCTTGTGACGTAGCTCCGCCTCTGAGGATAGTATTGGAACTAGAAAATGACAGTCATCGTAGTTTTATCAGGCATGTCTTCGTTGTTGGAGATTGGTGTATGATTTATATCAAGGAGTTAATCTGCATGCGTAAGAGCCTCTAATGTTTTGTCACGATTTTCAGATGTGGAAGTGACTGTTTGAGATTATTATTAATTCAGCAGGCGAGGTCCTAGTCTGTGGTAAATGTGAATTGTATTAAGGCAGTTTGAGCCTGAATAAATTTTGGCACTACTGGGCTTTGTTACTGCACATATGCAATGCATTATGGAAGATTTTATAGATTTGAATAAATATTTGTGTCTCACTATTGAAATCAGTGTAGAAATGCCAATTTTGACCATTCCCCTATGACATTTCAGACTCTTGGATGCAAATAGGTGCCAAAAAAAAGCAAGTTTTTTTTTTTACAGAGCAGTACATTCTATTGCTAGATAATAATGATTGAACTAAAGTTGTTGGTTATGCCCAACAATAGTGTTCGTTTGATAACTCAATATACTTTGCAAATGTGTTTTGGAATGCTAGTCTGTATTATTCGTCCAAAACTCACATGAGTTTGTGTTGCTTGTTTGTTGCCTGTGCAAGTACATGTAGCTCTGGCTCCACAGCGATATCAGAGTGGGCGGCATCACATTTAAACCACTCAAACACTGTCATGGATCATGCTGCAGCAAAATTCAAACCCAATGTGCGATGACTGTGATGCGTAAGAGATAAACAAGGTAGATGGTTCAAAATATCTACATTATTAATCGGGTATGAATTCTCAGGTCAGTTTATGTTATGGAACGTTACTAAGGGTTAACTCGAACTATCCTCAGATTACTTTTCACTATAGGTTTCTATCAGGGAATGGTAACCTAAGCCACACATCCTTCCTTTCAGCATCCTTTTTTCTATTGTGCGTTGCTGACCCTCTCTGTGTCAGGCCAAAAAAAAAATACCCAAGTTAAGGTCATTCAAGGCCTTCGACCTGATCCTTAGGGGTGAACAATTTATAACTTTATTTCTTTTTGAAAGTGTTTATAATTATTGACATATCAACAACTTTAATTTTAATTCTTTTTGTATTGTTGTTTAAAGAAAGCTAAGAAGTAAAATAATGGATATATTTGGAGCAATTTTAATAGGAATCCATGATAAATGTTTTTTTCATTAAATAATCAATAGTATTCATCAAAATTCACTAATAATTCCTAAAATCCCATCTACGTATTTCATGTATGTAATTGTGGCTGTCTATCGCACACATTCGATCAGGTCCAAAAAACTGCGAGAACTGTGTTCTTGTAATGGTAACACAAGTATTAGAGACTATGGTAGACTGTAATACATATATAAATTAGTATGTCGTTTATTTCGGTAGAGAAGTCTGGCATCAATATACAATGAGAACCATCCACTCTAAACATATATATAAACCACATGATTATATATTATTTCATGCATAAAATAAAACCGTATTATAAAAATCATGGAAATTTGATCATTTGTTTTAAAGTTATTGTATTGATCGTAAAACCTTGTGTAAAGGCCTATTAATTATGAAGTAACTGGGTCAAAAAATCAAAAGTTATGGTGTTCGAGGGATATAGTTTTCTAAACCTAATACATTGCACTGTTCATCAACTGAGTTAGTTACTTGTCTTCACTTAAATAAATTCTATTAGGCAATTCTGCTTTGGGAGCGTGTTAAACACAACTAACTTAGTTATGTTCGTTGTTAATCTTCGCTCAAACACTGCAGAAACACCATTAAAATGTTTGTCCTTTAAATTTAAATGCGAGGACACAACTCAAGAGTGAAGTGTGC